TCCTTTATATACACCGCAAGGAGATTTAGGGTTTAACATTGGTGTCTTCTTTTTCTTTGTTGAGGATAAAAGCTTATATTTAATTAGGGTTTAGGGTTTAGGGTTTACAGTTTCGTTGGCAAAGGGTTTATATCTATGTACTGGTATAGGGATTAATCCCCTAGGTGTATACAGGCCTCATTAGGGAGGCATAGAGGTTTTAGGGTTTGGCTAGTTTCGAGGGTTTAGGGTTTAGGGTTTATGGAGTTTCGAGGGTTTAGGGTTTCAGGTGTATACACATGCATAGCAGCAGCAGCAGTATAAGAGGGCACATCTGTAGGACAATTGCTGTTATAAAAAAAGGGATTAATTGTTTATATTTATATATTTATTTAAATATTTATTAAAAACAAAACAAATAATAAAATAAAAAGAGAAGAAAGAATAAAAATAGCTTCTGCTTATACACCGCGATTTCGGGTGTACAGGCAGGTAGGTGTTGTGTATGGTGTGTATAGGGGGTGTCATTAGATACGTCTTTTCTTCCTTTATTTCTTCTTTATTTAATTAAAAAAATAAAAAGGAATAAATAATTTAATTAATTACTTTTTATTTTATGCAGAAACCCATTAAAAATATGCAAATAATAGACAGAGAGGGGCCCCTACGTATAAAGAAACAAGCCTGCGGTCATACACTACACACATGACCACTGGAGGCCCCCTGGGGGCCCCCCTGCTGATGGGTATTTTGTATATTTTCTTTTTAATTATATATTTATTTACATTAAGAAACCTTTTTATTTAATTACGGTTTATTTTATCTTCTCTTAGGTCCCTCTAGGGGGCCCCCCAGGCATAAACTAGGGGGGCCCCGGTAACAGCTAGCTCACAAGTGGTAGTTGAGGCATCATAAGGGGGCCCCCGTATCCTTTCTTCTTCAGTAGGGTACATCTGGGGTCCCCGGGGGCCCCTTGGGGCCCCTGAGATGGAAGATGAAGTAGCAGCAAACCTACAGCGCCTGCCTTATACCCCCTACACCCCTGCAGGAGCTGGTCTCTCTGTGTGTCTCCCTCTTCCCCCTACCCCCCGCTGTATAGGCAGGAGGGGGGCCCCCTCATTAGTAAGGCGTGTTGATTCGGAGGGGCCCCCTAGGGGAGGGGGGGCCCCCAAGGGGGGGGGCCCCAAAGGAGGGGGGGCTCCAAGAGGGGGCCCCCAGGAAGGGGGAGGCCACCAAGGGGGCCCCATACCCAGGGCTCGTTCTGTACCAAGAGCTGTATCTACAATAAAGGAATACACTAGAAGGAGTCTCTGTGACGCCTATACACCCCGGGGCCCTACAGAGAGGTTAGGGGGCCCCTCCTATAGTTCCTCTATAGGGGGGCCCCCTTCTTTTAATACTGGTTCAGGGGTGCCTGTGGGGACACGGCTACGACCGGGTGTACGTACAACCCAGCAGCAGCAGCAGCAACAGCAACAGCAACAGCAACAGCAAATGGCGACCCGGAGGCTGTCTGCTAGCCCTGGAAGGGTATGTGGAAGGGTATCTCCGCGAAAGGGTGGGGCCCCTGGAGGGGCCCCTGGGGGCCCCCCTGGAGGGGCCCCCCCTGGTGGGTGCAGCGTTGCTGCCCTAACGGAGGCCCTACAAAGGAACCAAGAAGAGTTGCAGCAATTAAATCAAAGTTTACAAGAATTATCTCATCAAGATAACCCTAGTAAGGTAGGGGGCCCCCCTAGGGGCCCCCGTGCCTCTAGTGGGGGCCCCAGGTCTGATGCTCCAGGCACCAGCATAAAGAGGCCCTCCTCTGGGGGCCCCCCATCTAATTCGTCACCTGCAGCAGCAGCAGCAGCAGCAGCAGCAGCAGGCTCAGGCCGTACAAGAGTATACAGCAAGGGCCCCCAGATAGTTAGTACTGGGGGTAGGGTATCGTCCCCTTCTCGTGGTGTATACAGGGTGGCCCCCGCCAATGGGTCCGTTCCAGGGGTGGGCCCCACCCAAAGGGGGGCCCCCCCTCCAAAGGGGGCCCCCTCTCCAAAGGGGGCCCCCCCTCCAAAGGGGGCCCCCGAGGAAATAAGCGAAGGAGAACGAATTCGTTTTATGATTGCCATGGGGGAAGTAGAGAGACAATTTGCAGAAAAATTAGAGAATTGTGTATCTGTATTACCACAACAATTAAGAAAAAAGGTAAACCCTAAACCCTAAACCCTAAACCCTAATTAACCCTAATTAACCCTAATTAACCCTAATTAACCCTAATTAACCCTAATTAACCCTAATTAACACTAAACCCTAATAATAAACAATAGCATGTATTAGTATTATTTAGTGGGATATTAGACAGTTGTGTATCTGTACTACAACAAGAATTAAGAAAAAAGGTAAACCCTAAACCCTAAACCCTAATAAACACTAATAAACACTAATTAACCCTAAATCATAGATTATTTAACGGCGGCAGGGAGAGGGTTTAGGTAGGAAGGAGGATGGAGACACGGACTTGCAAACATCGCGTCCTATTAGGGTTTAGGGTTTAGGGTTTAGAGTGCAGCTGTAGTTATGCAAAAGTTGGGGACTATAAACCCTAAACCCTAAACCCTAAACCCTAATAGGACCCATTCTGTGAGGGTTTAGAGTGAGAAGAAAGGAGACAGCATGTATAGGCATGCATGCTACTGTTGCTGCTACTTGCTGCTCATGCTGCTGCTGCTGCTGTTGCTGCTGCTGCTGCTGCAGGTAGCAGATGCGGGGCCCCTCGAAGAGAAGCTGCAGCAGTTGCAGGGGGCCCTCTTGCTGCTAACAAACAAACCCATGTAAGGGCCCCCTCTCCTTTCTTGCTGCTGCATGCATTATTAACTAATAAATAATAATAAATAAATAAATAAATAATAAATAAATAAATAACAATATATATTATTAATTATTATTTAATATTTATAAATATATACATATGCATGCATCTACGAGTGTCTGTACATACAATGCTTGCTGTTGCTGTTGTTGTTGCTGCTGTTGGTGCTGCTCTTGTTGGTGCTGCTGCTGTTGCTGCTGCTGCTGTTGCTGCTGCTGCTGCTGCCAGGGATAGAGGACTGTCCCCTGCAGAGAGAGAAGGACTCCGTGCATTAAATGCCCAAAGAAAAAGAGAAGCAAAATTACAGACAGTAATCAAACCCTAAACCCTAAACCCTAAACCCTAAACCCTTGTTTTGTGTTTTGTATTAATAGAATAATTGACAGCAGCAGCAGCAGCAGCAACCAGCAGCAGCAACACAATAACAGCAAGACAGCAGCAGCAAGACAACAACAACGACGACAACAACAACAACAACAGCAGCAGCAGCAGCAGCAGCAAGACAAGAGGTATTATTTCTTTTTTTTTGTGTATAGGCATTAACAGACACAAGAGCAAAATTAGAGGCAGCAAGACACGAAGTTGCTGCTCTTCGTCGTTTGCTGCTGCCGCTGCAGCACAGTGTTGCTGCATATGCTGCGCTGCAGCGCGCAGACACTGCAGCAGCAGCAGCTACACCTTATTCCCCTTATAGACCTGCTGTACCTGCTCTAGAAGACCCAGGGGGGCCCCCTCTGCATTCAGGGGGGGGGCCCCCTCTACATCAAGGGGGCCTCCCTCATTATCCAGAGGGGCCCCACCACAGGGGTATTTCTAGAGAGGGGCCCCCGCCCTCAGAGGGTACACCCTATTGTCTTTCTCCTAAGGGTCCTTCAGGGGCCCCCCGGGGGCCCCCCAATAGCCATCTCCACCGGAGAGAAGACCCTATGGGGGCCCCTACAGAAGAAGACATAATGCAGAGGGTACATCTCCATACCTCTAGGGGGGCCCCCCAAGAGGTAATGCAAGATACAGAGGACTTCACCACCTCGGGGGGCCCCCCACACCCATCTAAGGGGGGGCCCCCACACACACAGGGAGGGGGGCCCCCACAACCGTGGGAGAGGGGCCCCCATGAGTATGGGGGCCCCTCCTTTGGTGTTAATGGGGCCCCTACAGGAGCAGCAAGTCAAGGAGAAGATAAACAGCCTAATGCAGCATACCGCCACGGGAAAGAAAACAGCAGCAGCAGCAGCAGCAGCAGCAGCAGCAGCAGCAGCAAGCTGTCATTAGAGGAGGCCTTCCCTAAGGAGAGAAGATATGATAGTATAGAAGAAAAAGGAATATTTAGGGCCCCCTCTGCAGCAGATAGCAGCAGTCTCTTTACCTGGGGTAAGCTCCTGCTGCTGCTGTTGCTGCTGCTGCTGCTGTTGCTGTTGCTGCACTGTGTTGAATAAGCCATAACAGCAGATAGGTGCCAACATGGGTCCTAGGGTTTAGGGTTTAGGGTTTAGGGTTTAGGGTTTGTGATGGCTCAGACAAGGAAGACGATGATGTAAAGTGGGCATCAGATTTCTTAAAGAGACAGTAAGCATGCTGCTGCTGCTGCTGCTGCTGCTGCTGCTGTTGCTGTTGCTGCTGCTGCTGCTGCTGCTGTTGCTGCTGCTGCTGCTCTAGAGTACAGGAATATTTACCAACACAAATATGTGCATATGTGGCAAAATAAATGTCCCTTACTGCTCTTGCTGCTGCTGCTGCTGCTGTTGCTGCTGTTGCTGCTGCTGCTGCTGCAGGTACGAACAGTGCGGGTTGGACTTCGGAGACATCCCGCCGAGGCCTGATGACCTTGACAGTCTATAAACTGCAGCAGCAGCAGCTGCTGCTGCTGCTGCAGCAGCAGTTTGCTGCTGCAGTGCTGCAGTTGCTGCTTCTGCTGCATATACAGTTGTTGCGCTAGCTGCAGTTGTTGCTTTTGCTGCAGTTGCTGCAGTTGTTGCTGCACCTGAAGGTGCTGCTGCTGGTGCTGCGCTTTTTTCAGTGTAGCAGCAGCACAGCAGCAGCAGCACAGCAGCAGCAGCACAGCAGCAGCAGCAGCGGCAGCAGCTTCTCTTGTGCGGAGCAGCAACCTTGCTGGCCCCACAGACACTTACAAGTAAAAGAGTTGAAGGTTTTAGGGTTTAGGGTTTAGGGTTTA